GTACATTTAATTAAGTTATTGTTAATTATCTATTGATTTAATGTAAGTGGCTATTGTTCGGGACGAACAATACTAAGGAAGGGACAGTGTTACGACAGCGGAAGTCACGTGATGCTAGTAATACGTCATGATATTCTAGAAAGATCATGACTGTTCGTGGCAACTCTAGTCTTTTCTACGCGCCCTCTATTCTTGTATATAAGTGCGCCAGATAAAGCGAAATGAATAAATCAGAATAGAATTGCAGACAGACAGAGACGGGCAATTGAGTCAAGCGCGGTAGTGACCGTAAGTAAAGTGCGTGAATCTTTGTGAATTATAGCGTGTGTTTAAGTTAAAGTGACAGTGGAAATTAAGTGTATTGCAAAGTTGAGTTGAGAAAAAATAAACTAGTTTTATTTATCGCTGAAGTTTATCGGAAAGGATTTCTACGGAAAATTAACAAACGAACAGAGACGTAACACTGCCAACATTAAATTGGTAAAATAAAAAAATAAAACATTTGAAAAAAAAATAACCATTTATTCTATTATTGATCTTTTATAGCTTTTTATTGGACCTTTACCATATGTCATGCTCAAATTGTTCTATAGAATTCTGTTTCAGGAATTATCAGGACACCCTCAACTGTTATAAGTATGTGATGACGAGAGACATTTCTTTCTTCAGACTTTAAAATGGGTAGAATTTAACTATATGTATTCTATTAATTCTCTGTACTTGACATTATACACAATAAATTTTTAATTTGTTTTAGACAAAACAGTAATCGATGACATTTTGCCCTATAGGTAGATATGATTGTTAAATTATATTAACTTAAATAGAGTCTGCTATCTAATACAAATGTGTACTTTTGAGTCATTAGCGAGAAGTTATTACCTTTTTAATATTATTATTTTGCCATTATATAGAGCCATCTTACGCCACGTAACATAAATTACTAAAAATGGCTGCTTCCATGCCTCTTATTTCTGGTGAGTGAAATATTATTTTTAAATATATATACATAGTAATAGTATAACTTTTATGTTGGAAAAAATTTAAAGTTATTACCGTATAGATAGCTGTACTACTAAGTTATACTGTATTAATTACAAACTAAATGACGCCAATATTAAGCAGCACTGTTACTAGTAGTACTAGTGTTATAATATAACGATAGGAGAGGAGTATTTTTACATCGGAAGTTGTAAGAACTTGGCTAGATTCTGACTTGCAAAGCTTTTGTCAATGTAAAAAATTCAAGGTGACAGAAGGTCATTGCCAGTACATTGAAGACATAAATTTTGCATAAAACTAATGCCCAGTTTTTCTTACAGTACTAATACTATAGTAATATATCAGATAATTAGGAGACCTAAGGGTGTGCTCTGGCACTAGTATAGTCTCCTGTCATACACAATATAATATAACCTATTCAACCACCCTATTAGAAAAATAAAACTGTGTTAACTAGAATTACCAGACACATCTCAGTAAAACTGGGATTGTCCCAATTCATATCCTTTTTTATCCTGATCAAATCAGTAAAAGTATTATCCCAATTGCTTTTTACCTCAATGTGAGTTTGTTGCATATGTTTTGTCATTGTACATGGCCCTTTTACATTTTACTATGAGAATCACCTGACAAAGACAGGTCATATGATACAGAGGTCCTTCCCTCTGCTACATTTTCTTAACTAGTCATTGGGTAGGTGCATGAATTGAGATTTGAAGACTTGTCTAGCTGCAAGAAAGAAAATGAAAAAACAACATTATTATTTTATCTTATTATTATTTTAACCAGATAAATTTTTTATAACTTTTGTGTATGGTTTTAAAATGCAATGCAATAAATGTAAGATTATTTAGCAAGTGGTAAAAAATGTTTTATTGTAATTTAAACTGTTTCAGAGCTATTACATTGTTACTCCATATGGAAAAAAAAGTCCCATTTTTCAAGTATGGAAAAACCTTAGTCAAAAATTCACCCTAAAAATCTGTTAGCTTTACTACTAGTAACAGAGCACTATTTTGATGGCTTGAGTGACTTATCCATCAGTCACTATGCCAAGATCCTTTACATCAGTCATACAACTGAGTTGGTTCTCATACAAGTTAAATGTGTTTTCCAAATTATAATAACCTAAATGCTTTATCTTTACCTAGCACCTTACTGTAATTAAAGGTCATTTGCCAAATATTTGTCCAATTTGCCAATTGATCCAAGCCATTCTGTAGTACCTTAATATCCTTGATAAATCTAGAAATACCCAAGAATTTAATGTAATCATCAAACTTTGCTAATTTACAAATTATGTCCCTAGCAATATCATTAGTGTAAATAAGAAAGAACAAGGTCAAAGCACTGAGCCCTGAAGTATTCCATTTGTCTGTGCAAAGGAAGATGCTGGAAAATAGTCTTAATTCTCACTAGTCCGCCCTAGATCTTCCCAAACTCAGCCTCAGAGCCAACAGAAGAAAAAGCATCAGACCTCATGTAAGACTCTACCTTTCTGTGTATAAGGAACTGTATGTCCTTCGCAGAAGGTGCCCCCTCCCAAACGCTCAGGTAACTTTAGACTCATGACGTTGTAGAGGAGGGACATCAGGCAACTCCATGTGTGATATGTGATATCCGATTATTCGGAAAATGTCTCAAAAAATTTTTTTTTATTGGAAAATCAAGAAAATAAACAATAAACTTGAGCTCCATGAAAAAGATCTAAAATAATACAAAAGAAAACATTGCAAATGTAGTGAAAGCATGAATAGAAACCCACAGTAAACACATAAGTGTCTTCGTAATAATTTACTGTTGAGAAAAGGAGCTTATATATGGACAGGTATAGCAGGCACATTGACATAGGTGGAGAGAGTCACAAGATTAAAATCACTAGAGGCAACATAGTGGGGTATAAAGACTGAAGCAGGTGAGGTAGAATTCATGCCAATGCTTGGACATTAGTGTGTTTTGGAAGGTATTGTAACGAAGCACTAGACTAGTGAGGCCTCATTTGGATTATTGGTGGAGTCTTGGTTTCCTTACCCAGAGAACAAACATGTTGGAAAGATTGTAGAGATGGAATAATAAAATTATATATGATATAAATAATTTAAGCTATGAATAAAAGCTTAAATTTTTTGTATTTGTTTTTTTTCCAGAATATAAGTAATTTGAGGTTACTTCATTCAGGTGTTCTACATTGTTAGGGGTTTGTGCAGTCATACTATGGGTAGTCTATCTAAACAGTGGAAGAAAAACATTGGAAATATGAACTTGAATAATATGGATAATAGAGTTATACTATGGCAGCCTAATGTAACTGAAGACATTTGTTCTTCAACAAAACTATTTCTCAGCTACATACTTCCAGAACAGCTTGGTTGATGATGTACAGGGTACTGTTAGTTTGGATTATTTAAATGGTTTGCTAGATGCTGGCCAGGCATATGTGTGAGAAGGGGTAACTTAGGTTGGATCTGATGTTCAATTGTTTTCACAGATACTTATCCCTTGAGGGTAAGTTGAAAGATTGAGGTATGAAAAATATATATAAAACACCAAGGCCATACAAGGTTTTTCCCAGGGTCTTGAAGGAGATTAAAGATCTGATATGAGAGTGGGCAGCTTCCTTAGGATTGGAGAAATGTTTATGGTTTAAGCTATGAATAAAAGCTTAAATTGAGTATTTTTTCTGTGGCTTATGAATCTTCACCTTCTTTATTGGTTGTAACTAGTTCATCTGATTATCTGGTCCTGCCACCTTTGCCAGATATTACTGTGCATGCAAGGAGATTTGCAGATTAATTGAGGGAGGGTGCTGTCATGCCTTGTCTTTCCATCACCTGGAGAACCCTTATTTGGACTCTCAGAGGTGAGACCTTCTACTTCCTATTTGGGGCTCTACACAAGATGCCACTTTTCATCTTAATTTCAATTTTTCAGAATTCGTCTGTCACTTACAACAGTTTTGTGTTTTTGTCATATTTGCAACTATTCTCTAAGGCCTATCATAGATCCCCTGCTCAAATTTTGGAGGTTCTTATTCATTAATTGACTTTCACTTTGTTCAGGTTATTGGCTTCTGCTATCTCCTTGGTATTGTGGTTTCTTCTCACCCCTTCCCTCCATTTGGTAGAACTGCACACTCAAACTCTGTTATCAGTAGCTGAGAGAGCTGGGTTTGTTATCAAAAAAGAGAAGTCTATTCTTACTCCCACACAGTACCTCATCCATTTAGGGGGGTGTTTTTCAAACACCAAATTGTTCTCCTTGTTTGTCATATTCCAGGTGACATCCTTCTTTGGAAGTTTATCAAAGGAAATTGTTTACTTATCATTAATGGTCTCTCAGACATGAATTTAACCCTCCACATCTAACTGTGCCATGTTTCTCAATTATTTGACAAAGGTTTTGGCACCTTTGTCTGCTACCTTGTGTAAGGCTGCCTTATCAGCTACTTTTTGTTTTTTTAAGAGAAGAAAAGTTTTGAGTTTCTGGTTTTGTTATTACTTTTGAAATCATTTTGGGTTATCTGTCCTTGTTGTATTTTCCTGGTTCCTAATTGGGATATCACAGTGGTTCTCCATGCATTAACACATTCACTTTTTGAACCTTTGATGTCATGTTCACAATATCATCTTTCACTTACAACATATTTCTTGTGTTATTGGCTAGAGAACATTGACATTAAGTGTTTGCACTTCATGTTCTCAGGATACTGTACCATTCCAACTATGTTCTGTTGAATCCAAACAGAACCTTTCTCCCTAAAAATGCAACAGCTAGGGAAGGAGGTATGGCTTTCTCTCAGATTCATCTTCCTTTCATTTCCCATTTATATGACCATTTGATCTGGAATGTTTTTTGTGCCCTGTTCTGGCTCTCTGATGTTATGTGGCATGCATTGAAACATTTTGGGGCTCATGTCACCAGTTATTTATTCACTGCGATCCTTTGGTATCATGTAAATTATTCCCTGTCACTTTATCAAGTTGGATTCATCAGTTGGTTTGGTCTTTCATTGGAGGAGCAGAGACTTCTTAGGGACTCGTGTGATCAAGTTCAACATATATCGATACCCCTGGCAGCTTGGTTGCATTACCTGCAGGAGAGAATTGTAAAAGCTGGTATGTGGATCACACCTCACACTTTTATATTGCACTGTTTACAGGATTTAGCAGTCTCCTCCTCAGGTGGGTTTCAGCTACCCTCCATGGCTATTCTACATAGCATGGCTTGATTGGGACAAGATGCAAGTAACTTCATTCCCTTTCGAGGGACCTTCTCATCATTCTCATGTGTATTCCATTCAGTGGCGAATGTTGCCTGGTCAGATAGGCTTTTACAAATCTACACCAGCTACCAGTAGACTAATAACTAAATTCCTGGTAGCAATGAGTTCTGTTGAGGTGGGGTGTTCCATAAGACTGCCTTGGTGCTTTCTGGGTGGTGAACAATTTTTCCATATCAAATATAATATACAATACTGGAATGCCACTCATGGACTATCATGAGTAAAGCATAAAAGGACTTTGACCATCCCTGCTAACCCCAACATTGGACAAATCGGAGTTGGTTTGCTTTTCAAAATATGGAATGTGGTTCTCTTGTTGCACTGTGTCTGAAGCATCATTCGTCAGGACTCCCCGATGTGATTCACTCCTCCCCCCTATTTCTAGTGGAGCAAGGGAGTTCTTAACACACTCAGTTTCCAGTCACTGGAGTGGTGGACAGAAATCTGTTCCTCCTGAGTGAGGTTTGTACTCTTTATTTTACTCAAGAAGAAGAAGGCAAAGCTGTATACCCTCTCACCCTTAACCGTGGATGGTTTTTCCCAGATTTTGGGTGGGGAGCCGGTCCAGCCTTCTCTTAATTCCGGTTCTGAGATGACACTTTGCTATCCAGTTGTGTGAGCATGGCCCTTCTCTTACTTTCCTTGATCATGAAAGAGGGCCCCCGACTCCTCGTAATTCTGCACACGGAACATCACATTCATGAGCCATTGGTTGAATTTAGTTTGTTCCACATCATCCTCCTAATTCCAGGAGCAGGAGATGTTACCTTGCCTCCCAAATTGAGAGTTAGGATTTCAGTTCGAATCCCAGGCCTGAGGATCTCTGTTTCTTCAGGTCGAGTGAGGCTTGAATTGGCTTTGTAATTCTGAGTTCAGTTTGTTGCATTCTGAGGTTCTTCAGGTTGGGGGAAGCCTTGTATAGTTGGATGTTGCTTGCCCTTCCTTCGTAATTCTGTTGGCTTGAACATGACATTCTATAACTTTCAGGTTGGGTATCCTGGGCCTATAATTCCGAGTTTGGTTTTTTGCATTTTGTGTTTGTTCAGGTTGGTCCCCTTAGGTATTGCTTGTCTTCTCCTTGTAATTCTGGTGGCTCAACATGTAATATTCTGTAACTTTCAGGTTGGGTTCCTTATCATATTCCTATTATACAATTATATTATATTGTAGTCCTCATGCCCTAGCTACTACATCTTGGATTTAGCTTTGCATCCACAGCCTTATAATTCCAACGATGAGACGTGGAACCTTTTCTTTGTGATTGAGGCTTGAATCAATCTCATGATAATGAACAATGTTGACTTTGTAGCCATTTGGCCTTTACCAACCAACATTAGATATCACTTTATCTGGGCGAAGAGTATACCTGTTCCAGAAGTATTGCTAACCCCCATTAGTGTGCTTTATTATATCTCAATTTTGCACACCTGTTTTTTATGCAGATCCTTTCTCTGTTGATCTTGCCCTCACTATCCTCTCCACCTGGTCAATGTGGGATTCTTGCTAAAGTGTCAGAAGAGTTGTGTTTTGGAAGTTTACATTGTCCTTCACCGAAATATTAAGGGTGTCAAGGATTGACTTTGGATATGTGGCTCAAGATTTGTTTTTAGTCTGTTAGAGTTAGTAACTTATAGAATGATTTCTGCAATGATGAGTTTGTTGAAAAATTTGCTATATGTACATATAAACGTGTAAGGCTAAATTTTCTTGGATTGGGGATTTTTTTGCGATTTGTTTAATGAAAGAGTGAACTCAATGAGCTGAGTGACTTTTTATGGCTGCATGTTTTCTCACTTATATAAAACTGTCTTTTTATGTATCTAACTTGTAACTGTATATTTATATTTTTCAGTGAGAGGTAGTGATGGACTTCATTTAACTTATGGACCTCCCAATTATAATGAATATGAAACATTTGAAAAGTAAGTTTGTAGATTCAGCAAGCTATATATATATATATATATAGTAGTATGTTTATGTGATACAAGGTTGAATATGCTATACTAAAACAATTTGCAAAACTGTAAGTCACATAACAATCACAGCTGATATAAAGTCACAGTGGAATGGCATTTATCAAGACATTTGTATTTTGACATTGACATTTTATGTAGCATAATGCCACAGACAATTAATTTCTTGTGGGGGAGGATATGTAACAGCTGTTTCCAAAGCAAAATATTCATACACTCGGATCATAAAGATGTGTTGTTGTTGAGGTCGTTGTCAGATAGAATATGACCAGACATGGTAACGTAAACTGTAATAATATAGTGAGGCTCTAAAATCATGTTAATATACTATCTTCAACTTTCTGTATATTTAGAAAGTTGCCTCTAAGTTATCTGTTACTATGTTTGCATTGCCAAGATTTCATTTTACAAAAGGATAGTTATCCTTAACATGCTTTTCCATTATGCAAAGGTTTTACTGAAAGCAACTATGTACAAGTTATTCACCAAAATGTGATGTGACCACTAAAGTAAAATATGTTTCCTGTTGGAATTGTGTGAAATGAAATCAACAGACATTTGAAAGCAATGTTGCCACATAATTTGACAAAATTATAATGATAAATTTATACATCTTGTGATTTGCTAACACTCGGTACCAGTTTTAGGTATTTTGCTGCTCTAGGCTGGATTTTAAAATTCTGCTTTCTGCAGAACTCCTCCATCATTATCATTGATAAACACATATATATATATATATATATAAAATTACACAAATAAAATGTTGTAATTTCTAGTAATCTTTTACTTTATCAGATCTATCCTCATCTTTCTTTGAACTAGTTAGATGTAGAAGAACTTTATTTTTTGTATCTTTTAACTACAAAGGTACAAAGTACTTCTTTGAGATCTGATGACTTCAGTTTATTATAATATTGTTTTATATTTATGTTTATTACCTTACAGTGTTTCCAGGACAGTAAAAGATGTAAAGTGAATGCAACATAGTCAATTGTATTTAAAGTAAAATTAATATATAACTTTTCTTGATTTCACTACCCTAGACAGCTGTTTATTTGTCTGTGTAAGTGTTTATTAATATAATTTACTTATTCATGTTATCAAAACCACTACAATTAAATATATAAATTGCAAAACTTTGTTTTCTCTAAAAATATGTGTGCTTCAAAACTTTTTGCAATAGGGTATGATAGGTATTATTATTTAAAATATATGATGCAAAATAATAAGGTTTTAGGATACTCTCATTTAGTTTTAACATTATTAAGGTTTTAGGATACTTTTATTTAGTTTTAACATTATTAAGGTTTTAGAATACTCTTATTCAGTTTTAAAATTATTTTTTTGTAAAATAAATTTAGCTCACTGCAAGCTAATGAACTAATGCTTAGTGAAATAACTTATAAATGTACATTAAAGTCATTATTCCATATTAGAATGTGTATATGTGCCTATGTATTAGCTGCATTTTTAATTCTCAAAGATAATTTCAAATGTTGTGTCACATTTTGAAGAATATAAAGTCTGACACATTTATTGTTTGTCTCAATGACATTTTTTGTTTGGAAAGTTTATGCTTTTGCTCACAAATGATTCTGCAGTGACATTTTTCAGATATACATGTATGTAGTAACGAGCTTCACTAAGTGTCCACTTATAAACTTGTATTATATGTTATAAGATTTAATGTAGCATTCTTTTTTGAGATTATATGTAGAAATGTATAGCAGTGGCCTTCACAAGGTACAGGCATTTATTAAACACCAGAAATTTTTAAAATGTGTCATTGTAGTTCAGAAATCTGTAGATACATAAGGCTACATTTCACAAGTTATAGACATTCACAAGTGTGTTTTAAACTTGAAATGTATCATGTTCAGATGTCAGAATATGATAAATGTACATAAATGTGTACTAAATTTGAAGATCTTTAAACTGAGCTTTTTTAAGTATTATTCTGGTGATGTATGTATCTTTTACATAGTTCTATAATGATATTTGGTGTTTATTTCAATATAACAGGGATACTAGTAAAATATGTCGTGTAATGGCATTCAGTCAAGATGGAAAGTACTTTGCTTGGAGTAATGGATCACAGTAAGTATATTTCTTAGGTTCAAGTATTATGATTAAAACTGGGAAGGATGAATCACCATTGTTGATGCTTAATACACCAGAAATGCTACTAATAAAACATGTATCATTTCTTGCAAAACAAAACTTTGAAGTATTAAAAATAAGTATTAGCAGTGTAAATGCTTCACCTTTCCCAAGCTTTGATGTTATTTAGCCTTCATTTCAATAACGTATTATTAATTAAGAAATCTTATAGATATATTGCTAGTTTTCTTTACTGTCAAACTTAAAACTAAATACAAATCTAAAGAGTTTTTAGACTCAGGCATATCTGTTCCTTGTATGACTAGGAAGCTAGGAAAACATTTCAGCTGTTACAACTCTACCAAAATGTATTGTTTCTATAAACCTCAACTTGTGGAAATCAGTTCTTGTGTAATAAAAATCAAAATAACATAAATGAATCCAACCATAATAAGAAATACTAAAAATAGAATGAAATTGTATTATTTTTTCCCTAATCAGGGTATCAGGATACATAAGAGTGCTTCATTCATCTGTTGTGCTGCTATTTCAGCTATCATGCATTGTAACTTACTGCTTGATATGTGATTTTTTTAAGCATAAGGATAAGTTTTAGTGGATGTTAACTATGACTCATTTGTTAGGTTTTGACGAAAGCCTTTACTACATAAGTACTCTTCTTGTTGAGACTGTAAGCCAATTTTTAGCTTTTGCTTTTTGAAATCTAAACCAATTATTTACGAAGTAAATAATTTTCTGTTTTATTTTACCAAAAATTAGTTTAAATTTTACTTGAAAGATTCTTATTACATAGTTTTTTTCTAAGTGTTGTGTTTGCTAAATGAATAATTTATAAGGTGGCCATAATGTCCTTTGGCCACTTTGCAGTGCCAGAACTGGGTAATGCTACATACAAAGGTAAAAATTGGTAAACATGGTTGTCAAGCACATGGTAGATGAGATGAGCTTATAAAAATAAATTTATCAACTTGGACACCATGGGGTGTAACTTTAGTCATAATTTGCATGCTTAATCAAATAAAAAGAAATGCTGAAATAGGCTTTTATCTCTTTGATGCTAGCTACAAGAACTGTGAATATGATTATACAAGAGAAGACAGATCTCAATCTGGGCAGATTACTGGTTTTGGGGGCACCTCAAGGCTCATGTTTAACAGAATGCTATTCAATCACTAACTGTGCTGAAGGATGCAATCCAACATGAAGTTACTTATGTTCCTCAAATCAGGCTGTAATCATCTGTTTCCAACATTGTCTTTGATTGGATGCTGTTAGTTAAGAATGAGAGAGGATACATTGAGCAAATTGTGTAAAAGTGGAAACATTTGTTAATTTATGTTAATTGGCTCATTTTGTCTCCCATGTGCTGATAATCATATGTCCCAATTTTTACCTTCATATACATTGTACTATTTCCATTTATGACAATGCAAAGTAGTAAAGGACTTTATGGCCAGGCTGTACGGACTACATGTGTACGTATATAGTTGATTATTTGTCATCTGGATCATTATCAACTTCATTATTATATATGTTCTGAGTCTTAGATTTGTTTAAAATGAGAAGAATAATGTATATTTTAAATATTTTTCTTTTCTACTTTTTTCACTATTGATCTCTTTCCACCTACCAATATTTACTCTTTCTAAAGAGAAACCATTAAAAAAAATTAAAAGATTTGTTAGTCGTTAATTATAAGAAACTTAGTTTCTGCTTCCATTTAATTTCTGATAGTTACTTACCTTTACTCACAGTTACAGCTATTCTTGATTTGATTGCCCTCTAGTGTGCAAATTTTTGCTTGCCACTAGTTTTGAACTCCAACCTAATTCCACATGTATACCACTTGGTCCAACTGCATTTAAGCATGCAAATTAGTATGTGACACACCCTCCTATCACAGCTGACTCCCTCTATGCAGTTGAACCCTATTTTCACCTCTTGATTTGGTACAACTGTGTTCACATCTAGTGCTTGATTTTCAACTATATTTCCTTTAGTGCATTTTTGATAGTCTGCAGTTATTTTGAGTTTTACTTTTCAAAGTATTGTTTTTTGAATCCATGTCCGAGTTGGATTTAATTTTGATTGTGAATTCTCTTACTCATTCAATTTTGATATTGCGTTTATAATTTATGAATTCACAATTTACCATCATGACGACAATGGCTACTGACAGTAACGAGGATTACCAACCCGTGAGAATGGCTGCAGGGTAATTTTATTTGCAGATTAAATATTGGCAATAGTTAGACAGAAGATGGTTTCTTTCATGTGGTCCTAGGGGTCTCTCAATCAACAGGTGGTTATATCATTGCTTGAAGATTTCAATCAGATGACAGCCTTTCCTCTCCCCCTTCCTTTGCTATTCAGGTATGTTCCCAGGCTATGGAAATACCTAGACCACCTTTTCGACTTTATTTAACAATTATGTTTTGTTTTGTCTTTTTCACCAGTGTCATGTGATCCCTCCTCTTCCTTATTATCTGAAGCATCTAGTTCTGAATTTGTGTTCTTTCTCCCTTCACCTGAAATTGGGGTCTATGCAGTCAGTTTTGAAGAGCAATTACATGTGGTGTTTAGCATGTTGTGCCCCCCACATACTACAGAAACTCATGCATTTGCTTATCAATGTGCGGCAAATCCATTTTTATATAGTCAACATTTGGATTCTCTTCTTCCCCTTTGGAGTTCGTACCCTGATACTTCATTGTGTTTTTCCCAGGCACAATTTGCCTGACTTTGTTTAACCCTTACAACATGCCTTCGTCATATGTTGTATATCCACCTGTTGTCCAAGGCTTTCCATCGTTCTCCTGAGGATTTTTCGGCAGAATCCTGTCTGTTCTGTCCCTTTACACTTGGCTCCTGAGCTGCTGGCCTCAATTGGGTCAGAATGCATTATTAACACTTATGCATCCCCCGCCTCCATGGGTTGCCAGACACTTTGGAGTCTTGTGTGGAATCTGCCAGATTACATACTTCCCTATCTTCCTGATTGTTCCAACCACCCTCATTTCCCTCTCCAATCCTCCTCCTTTCTCCCCTTTACTAGTTCCTTCTTCCTGAACCATGTCTTTATGTCATACCATTATTCACTAATGTTCTGATAGGTGTCAGCAGTACTGGTGACCACCAAATAGTTTCATGTCTGATGGAGTCCAGACTACCTTGTTTATCAGGGGTGTGGGAGAATTTTACCACCAGTCTTTGGGTTCTCCGAGTTTTGTTGGGAGGCCTCTCCCTTCTTTTCCTATCACTTCCTCCCTTATCCCATGTACCAGTTCATTTTCTCCCCTCAAGATATTGTCTCTCACCAGCATCTCTCAAAAGTGGATGAGCAACTCCCATCTGAATCATTTTCTCGATGTGCCTCAATTCACCATGGAATTCTACCTATCTCTCAGATAGGCTTTTTGTCCAGGGATGACAAGATTTGATGTATCCAATACTTATCTTCACATCTCTATTACTCATTATCTATATTTTGTCCATGAGAAACATGTTTATCATTTTTGTGGTCTTTTTTTGGGGGGCTGGCATCAGCACCTTATGTTTTCTATCAGATGGTCCAGTCGTTTGCCCGATTACTAGACTTTTGAGGACTTAATTTTTGTCATTATATGGATGATTGGCTTCTTCTGGCTCCATCATTCATGGAGTCTTCCACCCATATTCAACTTCTCAAGGATGGTGCTCAGGTGGGTTGGATTATCAAATTGGAGAAGTCCATTGTCATCCCTAATCAATATCTTGTTCATCTGGCAGTGTTTTTCAACTCACACCTCAGTCAAGACCAGCCTTATCCTCTTTGTCTGCGAGCCATGGAGTGTTTGATTCAGAAGGCATGATCAACACTTCTCTCCCTGCTCGAGAGATTCTGTCTCTTTTGGGGACTTGAGCATTGCTGAAGGTTCTTATACTTTTGTTCTATGTCCACATGCATGCCTTACAGTGGTTACTACAAGATCAATGGAACCTCATCAGGGACTCTTTGGATTTCCAGATTTCCCTTCATTCCAACTTCCTATGATAGTTAGACAGGGACAACACTACAGTGGGTGTACCTATTCCTCCTATCTGGATATCCATATTTTTACAGATGCCTTGATGTAAGGTGGGGTGGCCTACTGCAATACCCAGAAAATTTCAGACTTTTGGTCTCAGGGGGAGTTAGGTCTTCACATCAACCTTTTGGAACTCCTTGTTGTTTGTCGAGTGATGGGTCATTTTCTATCATGCGCCCAATGCATGACAGTGATGATTCATTCCAACAACTCAACAATTGTCTCTTACATCACCAGACAAGGGGGCACTTGATCCAAGTCCCTATGTTCCCATACTCTGGGATCACAGCCATCTAATTTGTTTGCTAGTTTGTCACATACCAGGTGCTCTAAATGGTGCTTTTGACCTTCAGGTACTCAGATGACTATGTTCTCAGTTGGATACTCCCCAACTAGATGCATTTGGAACCCATTTGAATACCAAATTTCCTCTTTTTTTTTGGTTCCCAGTTCCACATCCTTCAGCACTGGCTGTCAATGCATTCAGCCAGGAGTGGAGAACCTTTTTCTTTATGCATATCCTCCTATCTCCCTTCTTCCATGTGTAATTTCTCTCATCCAATCCACTTTGTGTCAAGCCCTTCTTGTTGCTCCTTACTGGGCGGTGCAACCGTGGTTCTCGATCCCTCTTCAAACAACCTCAACCAGGGGTGCTTCATCCCTCTGTTCCCACTCTCTGGCTTCATGTATGTATTTTGTCAGGTCCATTGCGAGGGGCTCAGGACTATCCACACATGTAGCATCATTGTTAGCACATGTTAGCTCATTCTGTCTGTTCTTCTTCTATGTCCATATATTAACATAAGTGGAAAATTTTCCATCATTGGTCTATCCAGCATAGATTCTCTCCTTCCTCAGTAATCAGAATTGTTTACATGGATATTTGACAAGGGTCTGTCCAAACAATGATTGTGGGATATGGAGCAGCCCTGTCCTCTACCTTCTGGTTTTCCCGTGTGTTTTCCCATCCTGTTATATCCCTTTCATTCCAGTCTATGCATCTCCATTGTCCTCTTCATACCACTCACTTGTCAGATTGGAATCTCCATGCCCTTTCCTTTTCTCCCTTTGAACCACTAGCATCATATTCCTTATACCACCTTTCTTCTCCTGTTTTCTTGTGGGTGTCATAGGTTGGACTTGTTTACCATCGATGTCCACTGCATTTTGTACCACAAAACCTATGTTCTTTTGTATCCAGACTGCTCCTTCCTCCCCAACACATCAGCTGCCCATCAAGGTACTTTTGCCTTCACTCATATTTCTCTTCCATCCATATCCCACAATTACTCCCGCTATGATCCATATTGGCTCCTGCATCCTTTTTGTGCTTTAAATGTGTTACCTGTCATGCACGACCCCTTCCGTGGTTCATGCTCCTATTTGTTTATCAATTGGAATCCATCCATTTCCCGTGATATTTTGCCTATCACCCTTACAGGTTGGGTTCATCATGTTATTCGTACTGCATATTTCTCCCTTTTGCCTGAATCTTCCCCATTGTTTTGTGTTTCATCCCATCAGATTTGTCACATCACATTGTCCATGACTGAAAGAGATTATCCAGGCTGGCACACGGACCACTTCTGACACTTTTGTGTCACATTAACTACATCATCTTGTGGTTTCCTGCTTAGCTGGATATTGTTTTCTTCCTGTGGCCATTCTATGCAAAGATGGTGTAACTATTGGTTGGTAAGTTTTTTGTTTTATTTAACTAAACAATTTCTTTCAGAGGCCTCCTTCTCACGTTATGGATCCCAATCTGTGGTGAGTGGTGCCTGTCCAGGTATATTATTTTTAGAATTCTGCACTGTGTTATCTGTTAGATCTATCATGCTCACTATTGAAATGGGGTATTCCACAAGAGCACTTGCAGGTTCATCCTTTCAGTTTATTGCATCATAATTGGGTTTGTACTGGACCTTACACTCATAGACTAACATGAGTAAAGCAGACAGTGATTGCTGCCCATCTCCAATGTTCCATTGATTATCAGAATTGGGAATAGTCTGCTTTTCAAAATAGGGTTTTATGTTTACCCAATGCACTTTCTCTGTTGATGTTTTCCTCTGGACTCTCCAATGCATTTCTTTCCCCATTCCTCCAGTGGAGTATGGGAGTCCTTACCATTTACCACCTCCTAGCCTCAATAAATTATATAATATCACCATCAAGCCTAGAATGATTTTTTTTGTGGCATGATAGTACACATTTTAAATTACTAAGTATTTCAACTAGGAATTATTATTAGTTATACTATTGCAATTTTTTTCTCTTTTTCTAGAGTTAAAGTAATATCTCTACCATCATGCTCCCCTGTTCTCCAGATTGCCAAACCTAAGACTACATGCTTGCAGTTTTCACCTACTGGTGACTTTATCATAACATGGGAACCTTATTCTGGTCAGTAGTAAATATACATAGGAAGATAAGGACAGAATTTTTAATGTTTCAAAAAGTGTAAAAAAAAACACTTTCCTTTAAGTTCTCTATTCATAGTTAGCATTGACATAGTTTGCCATTTGGAGTATACTATATATATTCATTTCTAGACTTATCCAAAGCTTTTGAATTTAAAAGTGATTTTTATTGTACCATGGACTTTAAATGTGTACTTAAAAGGTTTTGTATGTAGTTTAAAATTTTGTAGTAACACTGGTTTTATAAATTTGTTTCTAGTTTTAAGGCTTTTCCTTGTTAGAGATTAGAATAAGCTAAATTGTAAACAATGTATTACTTAAAATATAGTCAAATGCATAAGATACACTTTCCGTTTAATATACTTAAGAAACCACAGTGTGATATGGTTTTAAATCATATGATTACATATTACGTAATGATAAAAAAAAATCATCCAGCAACAGGCACCATTAAAATATTCTACAAGACTTTAAATGTTAATGAATTTTATGGAAAATATATACTGCAGTACATTTTGATTGAGCACCTTGTAGGAAAGTACATTATTAAGCAGTGTGATCACCTCCTTTAATTATTTTCATGAATTTGTCTGACATATGTATAGTTGTGTTATTAATACTTAAAAAAGCAAGTTCTTAAGTATGGCAATTTCAAGGTCTTTTTCGAACTTCATCTGTTCACCAGCCACAATGATTTATAATTTTTGTATCAAAATTCTGTAGAAAATAACACATTAGGAAACTAAACTTACAATAACATTGTTATAACTGTATAAATTAGTGTTTATACAAGATAGAAAATTTAACAAAGAAATAGAAAATTTTTTTACTGCAATATAATTGACATAGCCAAACAATATTTTGTTCCTATGTATGTAATTTCTTTTGAAATATTAAAATACTAAAACAATCACTGTTGTATAATACACAATTAAAATTTTATTTGAAAAAATGATCAATGGTCATAAAAGACACTACAACTTTTGATGTCGTTCACTTCATCCTCAGGAGTGTAAAAAAAACAAATGCTGTACAACATATAAATACAAAAAGCCATGGTCATGTGACTACTAGTTCACATATTTAAAAAGAATTGTGCCACCTACTTACTTTTTGATTTTCTAACCCTTCATCCTTATTTAGAATTTAATTATTTTTACTGTGTTTCATTCTTTCTATGGCTTCCCTAATATTATTCAGTTGAGCCAGAATAACAGTTTATTCCCACTGTATGACATGACCAGTATAATTTGCATGTTCAGCTAGTGCAGAGTTTTCATTTTTGTTTTTCACATTTTCCTTGTGTTCATTTACTCTAAATTTAAAGTTTCTTCTAGTTTTACCATATACACCATCAAATTCACCTTCAAAACAGATACTGCAAAGTTTAGGAATTGTGATGGTCTTAATCTTTGAAAGTTTGTGCTGAGACCTAGTTGTATAAAAGCTTAATTATAATATATTGTGTTTTAGTTGTTATAGAAAAAAATTGTTTCATTTCAGCTATAAAAGAAAATCCCAGAGATAATTCAAACCTTCATATTTGGGAAGTAAAATCTGGAACATGTTTGCACTCTTTTATCCAGAAGAAACAATATTTATGGTAAGTTTTCTGTACATTAAAAGTTACAATTATACCAAAAGAAATTAAAGATGAGTTAATTCTAACAGTTTCTTTTACACTATTGATATGTTGAGAGTATGCATTTCAGTATAAAATGAATATTTCTGTGCAATTTGAGTAAGAAGTTTAACTTTCTGAATCATATATTAATGGAAGGATATGTATATGGTGTACACTTAACTTAAACACTTTTTTCGTGTCTATTGTACAGGTATCCACAGTGGAGCATAGATGAAAAGATTTGTGCAAGAAATGTCAACAATGAAGTTCATTTCTTTGAGAATAATGTCTTTAGTGAGTTTATTTTGCTAAGATTTGGCTTACTTTTACCCTATTGCTATGAGTTTTCCTATGGTCAGGGGTCAAAGAGCATGTCATCATGTTTGTAGACTTGCATTCAAAATTTTATTGAACTACTATTTTATGAATGTATGTCAATAAGTTTGGTATCAAATTGTAGATTATAATTCAAATGTTAGTATTATACATCAGTTAATTTCTTAATTTAAAAGTAAATATTAAAAAAATCCTAAATATTGATTTTTGTGTGTTACGTGGTATGTTGAATGCAGCATTGGTTCATATTAGATGTTTGTGATGTCCAAATACAATGTCTATAGTTTCTTATGAATTAAAAACTCAAATTACTGACATTGATAAGCTAGAATATAAAATAAGAACCCCCTCTCTTTTCTATTTGCTGAGATATCACTATATATATAGCAAATCAAAGACAGTGATCCCAACCATTTCTTACATTTTTGGAAATACTTCCTTACATACACCCGCTTCATTCTCTCTCAGCTTTGTAACCAAACACAAGCTCAAAATTTTCCCCAAGTGGTTTTCTCAGGCTCTTGAAGGTGGAAAGTTCCCAAGATTATTTCATTATTTCTTGGAAGGATGGGGTAAGTGAAAATGTTGTTCAAAAAACAATATTTTTTTTAGACCCCAATACAGTTTAGTTAGTAGATCTGATAAATTACAGTGGAATTCTGCGATATTGATAGAGTAATTTATACTTTTTTGGTATTTCAAAAACCTAAAAAGTTAATTTGTTCTACATCCTCCACATGCAAAGTTCAGCAAGGCTTAGCAAGCAAGGTATGGCATGCCAGGTACAGCAAGTGAGTACAAACTTCTTTACAATCGTAAGTAGTAGAGATCGTTGTTTTCTATATTATTTATTGTTCTTTTTTAAGAAAATAACTGTAATTAAGAGCTTATTTGTAAATATTAATAATATATCTACATATATGTAATGTATTATAACCAAAATGCAACTTTTATTTTACAAAATACTGGTTCACTAGAACAAAGCCAAAACAGGTCACTTTGTAAAGGCCAGTTTTATACTATTGGATACAATAGCATGAGTGCATATAGTATGCTGTGTCATTGCACCTTTTGTAATGATAGTCCGAAATGGCTGAAAGGTCAATAAAATAAAAGTAGTAAATATATATATTGATGTATAATTTTATGAGATTTAAGCTATTTAGACTAAACATTTGTGATTTTCTGTTATAACCTGTGGTTATTTTAGAAGGAAAAAAGCCATGCAGAGATACAGTAGTGAAAATAAAGATAAAATATAAAGTTTTTCTTTCTGAAAAAAACATTTGATAATTATCTGGAAGTTATTAGGAGATTGTAGAGATTTCACATGTGAAATTTGACAATTTTCTGATGCATAAAAGTATTTTTAATCTTAAAATCAAAATTACTCTGTATGATGGATAGTCAATATTCGAAAAGAAAAAATGTGCTAACAAATCATTATTTACAAAATCTTAAAACTTAATTTTAAAAATCTGATATTTTGTGTGCTAAAGCCTTGTAATGTGTACTGATAATCTGAAAAATTTCTTGAACTATAACAAGCACAAAATTGGTAAGAGGTCTGTCCCTGGGATTGAGACCGTAGCAAGAGAGTTAAAGCCATTTCTAAATTCAACATAGTCTTATTTGTCAAAAACATAACATTAAATAGTAAATTCAAATCTCGGTTTATTTTTCTGTAGATAATTTTCAAGATTAAAACAAAGCATTTCATTATGTTTTAGAGCAAAAACTGAAGTGCAATAGGTAGTTCAAGTTTTGAATTGATGTATGCTTTCCTCACTTCAATCACACTTATAAGTTGTTAATTTTTGTTGATTTTTGCATTGGCTAATGTCAAATGATGTTATTTATTGTTAAAAATTAATTACAAAAATAACATACAAAGAGTTAATCCAGAGCTTTTAGAAACTTGATGATTATGAAATGTTGAAATCTTAAAGATGATCAAAATAGCCATATATGCCATGTTTAGGTTACATCATATAATTTACCGAGGAATGTAGTAAATGTGGTGAGGAAAATCTTATAAGAAGTTTATCCACAAAGATCATAGTATAAATTTAGTGAATGCTGTGCTAACTATTGGATTATGTAAATACATTTTTATCCTGCCATTGATGACGGATAATTTAACCTTCCAGCCACCATAACAAAGAAAATTTTTCTACAAAAAGTGTCAGAGTTTTCTTTGGCACCAGGTCCACCTCCCTATCATATAGCCTGTTATGTCCCTGGGAGCAAGGTAATAACCCTTTTATGTTACTACAAATCAGAATTTTTTTTATTCATTTACACTTAACTTTCCATCACAACTTATCTCAATGATTCATAGTATTTATTTCCCAGCTAAAAGTACAGATTATTCTGAATTTTCTTAATGCACATTTAAGATAATTTACAAACCTTAATGAAATATCATAGATTCACTAGTTTTAAATGTTTTTCTTTTTGTTATTTTTGGCCAAATACTTAAAAATGATTGACTATTTCTGCAATTTTTATGTTTATTTATTTGAAATGTATATCTAAGTGCATGAGCAAATTGTTGCTAAAAATATTCATCATATCAAAAACTGAAATAGGACAGTTGGATAATTAATAAATATTTATTAACTTTATTTGATATCTGGTTTCATAAATCAATACTTAAGAATTTTTTATCACTCACTAATACTAAAATTATTTCTTAATTGTCTTTTATGCTACATAGTTTGACTAGAGACCAATAAGCCTCTAGAGTTTGTTATATTTACTGATTCAGTGAGTGGAAGTTTGAAATGGACTACAACATAATAATGTCTTAATTTACACAATGCTTTAAATTGAAAATATAGTTTATTATTTTGTTGTTCAGACTAATGTATGGCTTGTTATTATGTAAAATATAACTGATTTTAACTAGAAGATGCTATAACATACTGAACTAGTATAAAAGTTTTCACTAATTTGAAAATGTATAACTTTTTTAGAATTAGAAGTTAATTTTTGTGAAATTAATTTCAGTAAGTTTATTTTCTGCTTTTTCTTCACATTTTCTAAATTACTAGTTTAACCATAAAAAGGAATCATGAAACTTATTTTTCATTTAATATGTGTTTCTTTTGTAACATTTCTCAGGGTCAGCCGTCATTTGTTAGGCTGTACAGATATCCTCCATGTGAAGGGAATAGCTCTGTCATTGCAAACAAGAGTTTTTTCAAGGCTGATAAAGTTGAATTCAATTGGAACAAGAAAGGTAGCACAACCTTTTTTCTTTACATATATGACACAAGAAACTGTAAACATCATATCCTAAACTTAATTTTGAGTTCATTCTCTGAAAAAGGAAAATCTTCTTTTTTTTAAAAAACACTTGGATTTTATCAATCTTTTATGTTTACAGAGTATCATGAATGTTGAATTTAAGTATATTCAATGTTAAAACTCTAAGGTATACAGAAGTGTAGTTTGTCTCTGTGTGTTTAAGTGGTTAAACTTATATGCCCCAGATCTATGTGTGTATATATATATATATATATATCCATTGAGGATTTTTATTCAACAATTTATGAAACAAGGAATGTTTTTTGAACTTGTATCTGTACACTAACTTGCTAATACTATGAGAAAAACATAATTAATTCTATACTGAGTGTTTTATGTTTCTGATAATATAAATTTAACAAAGATACAGATCCTATTGTTATTTGCATTGAAATGTAATGCAACTTCCTTTTTGGTTTTTGCAAATAGTTTTCTTCTAAAAAATTATTTTCAAGAACAGGTTCTGACTTTTACTATTTTCCTATAAGAGCGATATCTTTAATTTCTTTGCTTATTATAAAAATGGATATTATTTCATATAAACAACAATTTTTCACCATTTAATAAAAAAAAATAAAGTTCAATACTTAGGAAAAAGTATACAATGGAAGAAAAGTACTTACAATTCCAGGAACCTGGAAAAGGCTGGTCAACAAATTATAAACACACTATGGAATTTAGCAAACAATTTATCAAAACAGACAGCAATAAAAAAACCTTAACTGTCAACTTTAATTTGCTTGTTTAACAAAGTCTTTAAGTTTTGAAGCCTGTTTCTCCTTTTTTTTGTTATTTACCCATCATCTTATGTTATTGTGGTGCTTGTCTTTTATGCTTCTGTTTTGGATTAATTTTGTGTCTGTTTATTTTTATTTTTTATTCTCAAGTCTTAGGCAAATGTTGGCCCAGTTGCATAGCTCTTGATATCATAACTGGGGATCAAAGTTTGAATCCATGCAAAAACCACAAAAAGGCATGATATACAATCTCTTGACATGAATGGTACTAGGTGGTAGGGTGTTGCCATAACTAAAAAATACAGATAATTTTCAGGCTTTATAGAATTTTAACACCATTCTTATATTGTGGCTTTAATGATAGTTTGATTTTTAATATAAAAAAAACTTGTTTAATAATAATAATACATATAATCACAGTTAGTGTCTGATATTATTTTGAGACTTAAACATCCAACTGCTGTATTTCCAGGAACAGGTTTGTTATTGTTAACTAGCACAGATGTAGATAAAACAGGAGCTTCGTATTATGGAGAGCAGTTGTTACATTATTTAGGAACATCTGGAGACACCTCGATAGTTAAGCTTGGTAAGTTTGAGTTTCTTCATCTCTCTCTCTTTCGTTTTCCATAAGAAGAAAACCAAAATATTTGTGTATGTAGAAACACTTCTTTATGAAATCCTGTTTATTAAAAAGACTATTTAAACTTATTACCACTTTTTATATGATATATTACTTATTAAGAAAATATACTTTGTTCTTTTGAAATTTATAACTGTTTTTCATTTTATTAGTCAAATTTTAATGTAAAAAGTTAAGTTGTATGATTGTAAGTTCCTTTAGTTTAAGTAAATAGAAATCCTTGACTGTGCTAAAGATCCTCAATTCATACACTATAAAACTTATTTTCTTTTGTGTTTTTTATTCAGCAAAAGATGGTCCAATCTATAGCATAGACTGGAGTCCAAGATGTAATGAATTTTGTGTTGTATATGGATGTATCCTTTATGTGTTTAGTGATTGTTAAATATATGTCTTGAATTTAAAAAAATACATTTAGTTAGTAGGAATGTTTTTCTTCTAATAATTAGTGAACTTGTAATTTTGAGTTTGTAAGCCACTGAGTAATGTTTGTAAGCCACTGAGTAATGACAAATGTGGTAGATGATACAATGAAACAACTAAAACATCCACTGTACAGAAATAACTTGTAAAACAATGAGGAAAATCTTGTCTAACTTAAATGTAGATTTTGCCTCCAAACCAAAAGCAGTGGTTAAAAAACTGCATAGCAGATGTAGAAAAAGTAGAATAAAATTATAAGTTTTGCAACAGAAATGCTGAAAAAACTGAACACTTTTTTTTATAGAACCAACAGTAATTTATAGTAATTCATATGCAGAGCTGACCTGGTTAATTTCAGGCCTCAGTTTGTGTATGTGCAGTTGGTTCTGTACCATCTTTTCATCAGTTTTGTTTAATATAGTTGCTTTATTTGACCATTACTCTGCATCACCTGAGGGCAGACTGAGTACAGTCTGAAAAATTTCTTAGTTAGGGCAAATAATGAATAGAGCCACTGAATAAAAGAGAGCTTGCTAACTTACAAACTGAGACCTGAAATTAATCAAGAAAGCTCCACTTGAAAGTTAATCTTGGTTCTATTACATCCTTTTTCTTTCTAATATTGTGGATGCACATAAATTAAGAAGTATGTTGTTCAAAAATAACAATATCCTTTTTTTTAAAGCAAAATCCAGGTCAGTGTAGTTATTATGCTTTCCTTAATCCATAATTTATATAGTTATGCCAGCCAAAGCCACCATATTCAACTTGAAGTGTGAACCAGTTTTTGATTTTGGTACTGGACCACGAAATGCTGTATATTACAATAGCCATGGAAATAATATCCTTTTCTAATCTGTTTTCTTTATTGTTGTTATTAAACAAAGTACTTTGAATTAAGTACAAAATATAAAAGTTAACAATAGCTTGTTTTGAATGAGCTGCTTTATAATATATTTTTTGTAGTTTTCTTTTAATCCAATTTCTTATGGCTTTAATTTATTATTTTTTAGCTTGTGTACTGTTGATACTGGTTGGATTTGGTAGCTTGAGTGATAAGGTTTTTTTTTTGAGATTCTTATATTACCTTGACTAAACTACTATTGATATTGACTGGATTTGATAGATTAAATAATAAGGTTTTGGGATTCTTTGTTACCTTAGTATTAATTTTTAATCAGAGCAACCTATATGTATATTTAAAGCAAAAGTAAAACTTAACCTAAAAACCAGTATAATAATTAAATACACCCTTCTTACATTTATTCTTGTAAACACTAGAATACATTGTTTCATCAGGTTGGAAACCTCACTGTTAACGATATTTTCAGCAGTAATCCCAATAATATATGAGGTATGGCCAGCTTAGGAAATTTAAGTTGGTCCTAAATACATATCTTAAGCTAAAATACAAAACAATCTTTATTATAAAAGTATACCAATAAAATATAAATAAAATGAAAAAAGTAATGGCATTTTATGTACTAATTAGTATGAACAATACTGTTAACGAAAGTAACAATATATCAAAAATAAAGTATACCTTACTTAGGAAAACATAAACATTAGCTGTTGCCTTGAACTACTGTTCTAGAAGTGAACTGCTTTGAAAAATATAACTTTAGCATAACATGCCTGTTTTCTCCATCTCTTCCTAACGTGTCTTTTTCACCAAAGAAACTCATTAAGGCACTCCTTCTGTGTAACATTAGAAGAGAGTGACATCTGTGCCTATTTATGAGACATGTGTTACTGTTTAAACTGTGTCAAGTTAGTAGCAGTAATCTTCTGATATGCAACCAAAATCTAATGGTTATGAAGGTATAAAATAATAAATAATGAACTAATACCTGAACTGTCCATGAAAATATAAAAGTGTTGAATTTAATACAAACTAAAAAAAAAACATGTAAACATAATATTGGTGTCTTAAACATTAACACACTTATTTTAACTAACCCCTGCAACAGATTTGATAAATCTACTGTTGATTTTGGCTGGATTTGGTAGCTTGAGTGATAAGGTTCTTTGGTTTTTTTTTTCATTTTTGTGTTACCTTGACTAAACTACTGTTGATATTGACTGGATTTGATAGTTTAAGTGATAAGATTTTGTGATTCTTGTGTTACCTTGACTAAACTATTGTTGATATTGACTGGATTTGGTAGCTTAAGTGATAGGTTTTATGTATCTTGTGTTATCTTGACTAAACTACTGTTGATATTGACTGGATTTGGTAGCTTAAGTGATAGGTTTTATGTATCTTGTGTTATCTTGACTAAACTACTGTTGATATTGACTGGATTTGATACTTGAAGTGATAAGGCTTTGTGATTCTTGTGTTACCTTGACTAAACTACTGTTGATATTGACTGGATTTGATAGTTTAAGTGATAAGGTTTTGTGATTCTTGCATTACCTTGACTAAACTACTGTTGATATTGACTGGATTTGATAGTTTAAGTGATAAGGGTTTGTGATTCTTGTG